CGCGTCACTTCCCACCCCTGGAGACCCAGGAAGGCGCGTTTCTGCCGGTAGCCCCCCGGAATGGCGGTGCGCACCTCGTATCCCGAGCCGCCGGGGCAGCTCTTCCAGCAGTCCTCCGAGCAAGCAGGAGCCATTTTTAATGACTGGACGTTCCTATACTCCCACAGAAAATCTGGGGTCGGTTTTTCTTTCCGGTTGCTTGGTTTCATTTCTCCCCTCCTTGACAACTCTGGGCACCTACAGTGTTCGTGCGTCTGTCCCAGCCCGCCCTCGTCAGCAGGGTCCGACAGCTAAAGCCCTGCATCCCAACTGCTAGAGACCAGGACCGCCCCGGGGAGGAAGACTCAGGGGTTTTACAGACAGGACTGCACAAACACTTCTTGCCGCAGCCAGTTCTTTGAAATTCTTTTTTTCTTCCTTTAGGGTTAATGAAATGTTAATAAATTCTCATTCAAATACTTAACGCTTATCTACTGGTATGTTGGGATCTGCTCGTTGAGCTGCTTTCCATTGCAGAATGTGAAATAAAAATCACACTTCAACTTTCAGTTTCTATTAAGAGTAGCTACAGACTCATCCTTTAATGAATCACAACCAAACATCAAAGAGGAGTAACATTCAAAAATTTTTTAAAAAGTAAGCTTAAGTCAGGACTTTTAAAAAAAGGCATCTAGCACCTCAGCCTTTTAACAGAGTTACCCTAACACCCCCTTGAGGTCAGTAAATACTGTGAGCTTCGCTTTATAGTCAAGAAACACAGGTTTTCACGTTGCACCACATGCTGCAATTCTCAGCCAGAGATCTGGAGGTGCCCAAACTAACAGCTAGAAAAGCCATACTTCAGAGGGCACAGGATAATTCCTGCCCTGCAAAAACAGTTATTCTGTGTCTCCGCCCAAACAGGGTGAGGATTTGAAAACAGATCTCTCGCTTCCTGGCATGAATACCACAACTTGTAAACACAGCACGAAACTCGCCTGGCGCTAGAAGCACGCACCAATTCTTACGCTGTGGAAGACGCAATTTAGCGCATTGCGTGCCGAACGTCGGGTGGTGCTCCAGAACCACCGAGGGGGAACTCCTGAGAAACCTAGCCAGAGCGAAGGGCGACCAAGGACACAGAAGCACAGGGGTCAGATGGAAGAAGTTCTCAACCAGCCGTCAGGAAGCATGAGTGCCCTTGCAGGCTTCAGCTGCTACAGATCAGCCAGCCACTGCTGTACAAAAATCACGTGGGGTACCGCATAACAACGCCATTGTGGTTTAGTCCCAAAATCACGAAAGAACTTGAAGTCTCTAAGTGGACATATATACCATCGAAATCCCAGGAATTCCTATTCACTGCTGTAGCACTCAATCAATGGATCTGTCAGTCGAGCGTAAGGTCTCCATTAAAATACGCTAACTACTGTAATCTGACAAGATTCATTCAAAATAGCACTGAAGACGTTATGTTTTTACAAGTACATGTCATTATCCAATATATCAAAACATGCAGTTTGTGCAGGTATTTCAGTAACATTGAAAATAAAAGGTAATCTCCTACTTTCTTTGCTTCAAAGCACTGTCTACATGGCATAAAAACATAGCAAAGGAAGGGCTCAATTAGTGTGAATGCTTTACAATACACTCACTGTCCCTAGAAGAGAGCAGCATCTTCATTTTGCTTATCTTGGTGTTACCAAAGTAGAAACAGATATTCCATAGGTCCACTCTATCAGCTTTACAGTATTTTAGCTATGCATCCAAAGAAAACAACTCATCCTTGTGGGATTACACCTTTAAGCCACTTAAAGTAAAGCTTTTCATAAGGTGTTGCAAAGTTATTGAAATGGCTGGAATATTTAACAGCCAAAACCAAGGTACTATAAAAGCATATGCCAGAGGTTTTATAGTTTTAGTAGCAGTCAAAATATGCTTAGTATAGAAATCCATGTTTATTTGAAAAAACAGTAAATGATGTTTCACAATACAAGTTAAAACTGCTTACAGAGTTTTGGTGGCTGAAGCAGCTGTGGCTTGACTGCCAATTGATAATTTGCCAGTATAATGTGAAATGGGATCTAATCTGCTAGCATAACGTTAAATGGGATCAGGGTGTGATTTATATTGCGAGTGTTACAGAAACAACCCATAAAAATAGTCAACCAACCATTTTCTCTCCTAGTATGAGCAACAGTGAACATTATGAGCAACACGCCTGAAACAGATGATTCAACTTTTTGATTGAAACTTTTAAACAACTTTCAATCGTTCAAGTATTATGGTCCCTATATACATACTTCTATGTGGCTAAAAAAGACATGGTAGACAATTGAGTACACTGCCATCAAATCTTAAGAATTACAAAATCGTCAGGTTTTAAACAGCAAATTGTACCTTAATCATTTAATTAAAAATAGAAGAATTAGGTAGACTATTTTGCAAATAAAACAGCACACTAGTGTGCTATATCTTAAGGCATACCTTTAAATGCGCACTTGTCATCTCTAACAAGTTTTATACAATTGCTACCAAGTGGAAGGACTATCATTGTCTTGCAAAACTGAGAAAGAAATACAAAATATCTGGAAGCCTATGTTTTTAAAGTACAAAATTAGCCTTCAGTCCTTGCGTTGAAATACTATACACGGTACAAACAGTGATTCTTCCCTACAAGAGCTCACGGGGATTTCTTAAAGCTGGAGGTAAATTCGAAGGTTTTGATTCTTCATCCAGAAGTACCAAATCTTCAATTTCACTACCTTTGTATTTTCTTTTACATATCTTCACAATAACTCTCTTCTTGAGGAATAATTTCAAAGCTTCTCTTGAAGCAACCGCTTTGGCATTTTCCATACTTTTACCACAGCCAGTACCCAAGTAGACAGACTTGCACCTCAGTTCACAAACTATATTTTCTAGAGAGCTCTTATTTTGAGGCAAGTCTGCAAGTTCCTTCAGGGGAACAAAAGCAACATCTAATGTAGCTTTTACGGACTGAACAGATGAGTTTAGAAGTTCTGCATGATTTACATTAGGACTGAAGCCTCCGACGGCAACCAGTTTCCAGGCTACAGCTTTGTATAGTCTGTTGAAAAAAGGTTGTCTTTCCTTTGCATCTTCACTGGTTAACGGTTTGCACAAAGCCTTAGCAGGGCTTTCACCTGCCTGTGAGCCACTCTTAGAGGCAAGCTGTGGTGAACCTGCCTGCGTGCCACCCTTGGAGGCCAGCAGAGAAGCACCTGCCTGAGCTCCACCCCGGGAGGCCAGTGACGAGGGACCTTGCTGAGCGCCGCTCCGAGCAGCCAGCAGCGAAGCAGCCACCTGAGCACTGCTCTTGGAAGTCAGCAGTGAGGAACCCTGCTGAGCACCACTCCGAGCGGCCAGCAGTGAGGCAGCCACCTCAGCACTGCTCTTGGAGGCCAGGAGTGAGGAGCCCACTTTAGCAGTGCCCTTGGAGGCCAGCAGCAGCGAGGTGCCTGCCTGAGTGCCGCTCTTGGGGGCCAGCAGCAGCGAGGTCCCCGTCTGAGCACTGCTCTTGGACACTGATGCTGGGGTACTCGCTTGGTTTTTGGAAGACAGCAATGTAGCACTTGTTTGTGGGGTGCTCTTGGCAGTCGGTAGCACCACCGCTGCCTG